TAGATAGATAGATAGATAGATAGATAGATAGATAGATAGATAGATAGATAGATAGATAGATAGATAGATAGATAGATAGATGTGAGCACACAGAGCTGTGGAATGCCATTTTTGAGGCACCCGGGGAGCAGCTGAGGGGTTAAGGGCCTTGCTCAAGGGCCCAAAGTGGGGCTGGTATGTCAGGGGATTTGAAMCAGCAGTCTTCCAATCACAGGCTCCCCTTTAAACTCCACCACGCGCCACCACTCCTTAATCATGTTTTCCATCTGTGGGAGGAAACTGGAGAAACTCCATGCATGTACAGAGAGAACAATCAAACTGTATCCAGAAAGGTCCTCAGCTGGGATTCGATTCAGCAACCTTTCCTTGGGGGAGGAAACAGCTCTACCAGCCATACCACATTCTTTTTTGCCTTCTCTGGGAAAATTTGTAACTTACAGCTTTGTGAGTTGATTTCTATATACAGTTACCAATTGCTTTTCTAATATTATGTGCTAACAAATGCTAGCTTTCAACAAAAGTGTTCTACTCAGAGATGCAAGACTGGGACCACATAGTCAAACTGTGGCAGCACTATACCTAATTATGTGAATTACCAGTTATTTTATGCTTTATTACTTCCATAATTAGTGAATAYGACCTTTTTAAAAGTTGTTAAATTTCTTTGTACAATTTTTAACAACTTACATTTTATGCAAATAAAAACTGTTTCAGAACAATATGTCACTGTGTATGTGTGAACAATATGCTTAACATGCTTTGTAGATTTCACAAGCAGGGCAGCGTTTGGAGCCAGTTGTCAAATCAAATTAAATAAAATAAAATTAAATTAAATTAAACAGTATTGTACTTCACTTAAGATGTATTTAAAGCAAACTATATGTTTTCAATCTCAGCCAGTTTCTTGATGACAAAGATGATCAGTAATATTACTTGTTGCATCAAGCAAGAGAAGAGGTTGGCCATTTTTTGACAAAAACTCAATGTTTTGACTGTGATGATATTTTGTAAATTTACATCAGAAATTTGATCAAAGTATTTAATCAAAATGTTTGAATCACTGGGAATTCTTTTTATTGATGACTTTTCGAGCAAAAATTGATCAAATTTATCTTCTAAAGACCCAGTGCTCATATTTTCCATTAAGCCAGTTTGTCAAAATCACTCATTAAGTCAAAAATGAAAAATGCCAGCAACTAATGGTGCTGGAGTAAAGCAGGGAGTCACCAGAGCACTTAATTCTTTGGGGATACTTATCATCTCCATCATTTTCTACGTCTTTTTAATGTCAAATCAGTTTGAACAAGAATTTTAACCTTGAGGGAAAAACACAAAATAGTACTCAGTTAACCTAACATTGGCCAAACTAAATTGCTGCAAAGACTGAGAACAGTGGTACTTTAKGTCCTATTGGTATTACTGATGTGTTTGCAAAACTTCATGGTG